CAGAGCCCAGCCGGCGGTCGCCAACGAAGACGTCCCGGCTCACACATGAGGTTGAGCCTCCCAAGGTGCCGGAGAAGTATGTGACCGTGAAGCAGGTCAAATACACCCAGCTGCCGAAGAAGCCGAAGGTGACGCTGCAGGAAGCCATCGACACGGACCAAATCGAGCCCAACCGCAGTATCTTGATCATCCCGGCCACCGACAAGCGCATCCCCGTGCGCGACATAATCGCCAAGAAGACGATGTCGCTGGAGAGCGTGGTGATGGTCATGAGCCGGACGGAGGTGGTGCTGGTGGAGGAGGTGTCGACCATCGTGCGCCGCCTGCTGCGACCCGCCTCCGCCATCGAAGCGGGCATCTACGAGCCGCAGAGCGGCAGCTTCATGAACCCGGAGACGCAGGAGCCGGCCACCTTCAAGTCGCTGGTGACGCTCGGCATCATGGCTCCCGAGGTCGTGCGCGTCCTGGACATGCAGATGAACCGCTTTGTGCCCGTGGACGAGGCGATCGAGCAGCAGATCATCGACGCCGAGACGGGCGACATTCACGACGCCAAGTCGGGCGAGACCGTCAGCTTCTTCCGCGCCGTCAAGGAGGGTCTCGTCAAGCCGGAGGAAGAGAAACCAACCAACATCCCCTTCAGTCGTATCCTGGACAAGGGCTGGTACAAACCCAAGCGCGGCACGGTGAACGTTCCTGGCTACGACAAGCCCGTTCCGCTCGGCGAGGCATTCCGCAACAGCGTGGTGAACCTGGACACGGTACTTGTGATCGACAAGCACGCCAACGAGTACGTGCCGGTGATGCAGGCTGAAGAGAACGGCCTGGTGGACCTGCTCGATGGCACAGTGAAGGACACGGACCGCGGCAGGGATATCCCGATATCCGAAGCGGTCAACAAGGGATTGGTGATCCCTCGTCGCGTGCCGATGTCGCTGGAGGCGGTCATCCGTCGCGAACTGTACCGTCCCGGTACCGGTAAAATAGTGGTACCCGGCACCGACGAGCCGGTGCCCTTAGACGAGGCCATCAACCGACGCATTATCGATGCTGAGTCGTCGCAGATCAAGGACACGCAGAAGAGCGAATCGGTGACGCTGGAGCGGGCCATTGCTACGCGCCTGGTGGACGTAACCACCGGCCAGGTGAACGACACGCGCAGCGGCCACAGCAGGCCGCTGGACGAGGCGTATCGCGACGGTCTGATCTGGACCAAGCCGATGCCGGTCGACCTCACGGACGCCGTGCAGCTGGGACTGTACGAGCCGGAGACGGGCACCATCGTGGACCCGGCCAGTGGCGAGGACGTCACTCTGCGCCAGGCGGTGGAACTGAAGATCATCAACGTCGAGTCCATCATCGTGGTGGACGTGGAGACGAAGGTGATCCACACGTATGACCGCGCCGTGCGGGTCGGCCTGGTTGACACCGAGCGGGGTGTGCTCCGCCAGCCAGGACGAGAGGTTCCGCTGGACCGCGCGTTCGACGAGGGCATGCTGGTCGAGCGAAAGGCGCCGCTTGCCCTGCAGGAGTTCGTCGAGAAGGAGCTGTACGAGAAGACCACCGGCCACCTGATCATCTTCCGCACCAAGGAGCGCGTCACGATCGAAGAGGCGATCACGCGCACCGAAATCAACATTTTCGCGGACACCATGAAGCACCCGGACACGAACGAGGTGCTCAACCTTACTGAGACGATCGAGCGCGGTTTCCTCAACCCCGTGTCGGGCACGGTGACGGATCCGCACACGGGCGAGGAGGTCAACCTGGTCGAGGCGATAGAGCACGAGGTGCTGCTGCCGGCACCCAAGCGCGTGCCGCTGCGCGAGGTGTTCGAGAAGAACATGTACGACGCGCGCACCGGCCGCATCGTCGATCCGGACACGCATGAGAGCCACACCGTGGAGCGGGCCATCAAGATCCGGCTGGTGGACGTGTCGTGCACAATTGTGCGCGACGAGAGGAAGAGTCGCGTCACCAGCTTCCCGCGTGCGATCCGCGAGGGTCTCGTCAACGGCACGGCGGGTCTCTACTGTCCGGACAAGACGCGTCGCATGCCGCTGAACGAGGCGTTCAAGGAGGGTTTCATCTCGGATGTGCAGTTGCCGATGTCCGTCAAGGACGCGATTCAGAAGGGCGTCTACGACGAGGACACGGGCCTGTTCTTCGACCCGGCAACGGCAGACTGGCTGACGTTGCTTGAGGCGGTGGATCGCGGCATCCTGGACGAGAAGTCGGTGCTGGTGCGCGACACGATCCGCGGCTTCTGGAAAAACGTCGACCTGATGGAGGCGATGCGCCGGCGCCTGGTGGAGCCCGACTCCGCGCGCGTCAAGAACTTCGAGACGCACTCGGACTACTCGCTGCTGGAGGCGTTCGAGGTCGGTCTGGTGGTGGACAGCCAGTACTCGCTGTCGCTGCAGCAGGCCATCAAGGACGGCATGTACGACGACGAGACTGGCCGCTTCACCGACCCCGTGTCCGGCTGGAAGGTCAGCCTGCACGACATCATCAAGCGCTTCATCATCAACCCGGGTCTGCCCTGCTACTTTGACAGGGAGGAAGAGCGCCTGCTCAACCTGAACGAGACGTGCCGAGCGGGCATCATCGATCGGCGCCGCGGCACCTTCCGCCATCCGAAGACCGGCTACGACATCTCCCTGAGCGAGGCTCTCCGCAAGGGCTTGATCATCGACTTTGAGAAACCGATGAGCCTCTACAACCTGGTGCACATGGGCTTCTACGACCCGCAGACTGGGAAGATCGTGCAGCCGCGCACCGGCCGCAAACTGACGCTGGAGGACGCCGTCAAGCATCATCTGCTCGACGCCAAGAAGTCGCCAGTGAAGCACAGCAAGACAGGCAGGTTCCACAGCTTCGCCGATGCTGTCAAGGAGGAGTTCGTGGACGCCCAGAATGGCTGGTATGTGATACCAGGCACCAAGGAGAAAATCACCATGATCGAGGCAAAGAAACTCCGCTACATTGTGCCCAGCGAGCGGCCGCTTCGAATTATCGACGCCATCAAGTTCCAGCTCTGCAACCTGGAGACAGGCAAGTTCTCGGATCCGAACACCGGCGACCACTTGGATTTGCACGACGGCATTCAGCGCGGTCTGCTCTGCGCCAAGACGACCAAGTTCAATGACACAGTACAGGGCAAGCACAAGCGCCTGCTGACTGCCGTCAAGGAGGGCAACATCCAGACGTCGAAGGGCCGCGTCATCGACACCTTCACTAAGCGGCCGTACAACTACAGCGTGGCGTTCGACCGCGAGCTGCTCGTGACGGAGGACGCGGCGCCGGAGGAGACGGTCAGCGTCGAGCACATCATGAAGCAGGAGGCCACCAGCGCGTACGCCGCCCGGCCCGGCGACCGCGAAAATCTCGTCAACTACAGCCTGGAGGAGGCCATCAAGGAGCTGATCATAAACCCGGAGACGGCCGTGGTGCTGGACCCGGCCTCCAAGGAGCTGCGGCCGCTCAAGCAGGCGCTCAGCGACGGCCTGATCGAGCTGAAGCACCGCGCGATGATCGACGTGAGCACGGGCCGGCTGACGCCGCAGGTAGTGCTGTTCGAGGGACACACGGTGCTGTACCTGCGGGCGCCGGTGGCCTTCCAGGACGCGGTGGACAGCGGCGCGCTGAACGTGCAGCACGCGCGCTACATCGAACCCTCCTCGCGCCAGGCAGTCACGCTGAAGAAGGCCTTTGAGTTGGGCTTCATCGACCCCCACACGGTGCTGATGAAGGACACGAAGCGGTCGAGGCTGGTGAAGTTGCCCGACGCCTTCGAGGAGGGTCTGATCGAGGAGGACAAGGGCATGGTGCAGGACACGGAGAAGGGACACTTCCTCACCCTGGAGGCGGCCATCAAGGAGGGCGTCATCGTGACGCCGCGCTACTGCTTCTCCGTGCTGGAAGCGCTCGACTGCGACTTGTACGACCTGGACCGCGAACGCTTCGTCGACCCGTTCACAGACCGTTGCATCCCGCTGTCCGAGGCCATCTCCTCGGGTCTGATCGACCCCACAACGGTGTTGATCCGCGATCCGATGTCAGACCGGCTGCACCACCTGCTGGCCGCCATCGAGGAGGGCCTGGTGACACCAAATGCCGGTGACATCCGTCAGGTGGACCACTTCATCAGCATCGTGGAGGCGCACCGCCTGGGCCTGCTCGTGCCCGCCGAGACGAGGGTAAGGGGCGCGCTCGGTCGGACGGGGCGCTGCGGCGTCCCGTCCGGCCGGCCGCCCTCGCACCTGCCTCCTCCCGACTAACGCTGACGACGGGGACGGCCGCTTCCGGCGGCGGCTGCTTTGAGGCGACGACCATCGGCCCAGGGAGGGCGCGGAGCGACTGAGACAGACTGGCCGGGCGTCCGTCCGGGCCGCTGACTGCTGGCCGCGGCGCCGCGCCGTTTTGTGGTGCAGTCCGTGGGGGGATGAGCTCCGACCTGCTCGGCGGGCGTGGCTGCCGGCCCGCTCCTGTCCCGGGAGAGTCGGGCTGGCGGCCCAGCGCCCGCCCATCCGCTAACGCCTTGTGTGTGAGCGATTACTGACACGCGGAGTGCATGTGCGTTGTTGTTCTGCACGTTGTTGCTGTTGCTTGCGATACCCAGTGTATTTGGCTTCCTTGCGTCAGCTGGTGAAGTCATGGTGCCTGCGCTAACCAGTGTAGTTTAGTTGCTTGCGCTAACCAGTGATGTTGGTGCTGCTTGCGTATACCAGTGTCGTGTGCCTGCCGTGAAGGTAATGACTAATCCTCTCCTCTGCTTGGACCGCCTAACAGGACCGACATTCGTGTGGTGTGTGATGGCGTGCACGTACTTGCATGCGAGCGTAACATAACCCGACATCGTCGTTGCTGCGTTAGGGTATATTTTAGCTATTTATCCGGGCTGTACAATTTACTGGGGGGTTGGGCGTGCCGCATCGGACATGTTTGCGCCAGTGAAACCACTGACCCTCTGTTAATCAGCAACCTGTGGCGGTTTACAGCAAGCGGTGATCGAGAAGTACCGCCATTGCGACGACTCGATCTCCAAGTTCCTGGACTGGGTCGAGAAGATGGAGCGGCGACTGGCCAACCAGGAGCAGGTCCAGGAGGACGTCTCCAACCTCCGCAACCAGATCAACGTGGTCAAGGTCAGATGGCTGCCCAGCTCCTAAGAAGAAAGGACGTGTTTTCATGCCGCGTGAACGGTCTGAGTGATCCTTGCAGCGACCGGTGTGGAGAGCTGAGTTCAGTCTGACGCGGCGTGGCCACGCGAGACATCTTGTGGTGTGGCATGGGGCTGAGGTGGCGGCCGACCCGCGGTGGTGTGTGCCCGCTCCGCGCATGCGCCTGTCGCCGCCCCGCCGCCTCAGCTGACTCCGGCGAGTGCCCGCAGGCGATCAAGGACGAGGTGAAGGACCAGCAGCGGCCGGTGTCGTCGGTGCTGGACCAGGTGCAGGACGTGATGGAGAAGGGCGGCGAGGTGCTCTCCAAGGACGAGATCAAGCAGCTGGAGAAGAACGGCCGTGAGCTGCGTCAGAGGTCAGCCGATGGCACGCGCCGCGGCCGAGTGGCCTGCCGCGCCGCCGCTCAGTGGGATGCCGCACAGAACGGTCTAAATGGCCATTGGGCGCAGACCTATGCCGCGTATTGGCACGCGTCGTTTGCTGGACTTGGCTTTACCTCGGGGGGGGGGGGGGGGGAGACGAAGTCATTTCAAGTTTTTTTCATTATTTGATGCTGACAAAAACAAGTGTTTAGCTTGTGAGCAGAGCAGAACCGGTCTTCGTCATTGCGAAATAACGCCGAGCGCGTGAACTGAGGCGGGCAGAGCCGACCGGCCCTCGGCATGACATGCTCGTGATTATCCCTGTCTGGAGTGTTCGTCACCAGGCACTGTCCTGACGGGGCCCCGACCTGCGCGCTCCTCAGGTACGACACGGTGACAGACCGCACTGATCAGCTGCTGCGCCGCCTCACCTCCTGCCTGGACGAGCTGAGCAAGTACCGCACCGATCTGGTCACCTTCCAGGTAGGCCCCGAGCGACGGCCGAGCCTCGCCTGCTGCCTGCACGGTCAGGAGCGTGCAACCCGTGCTTTGTGCTGTTGTGGTGCAAGTCGCATATTGGTCCTCATTCGCGGGGTAGTGGTTGCCCAGGTTCCGAAAGCGCTCGCTGCCTGTTACTGAACTTCTCGTCGGGGGAAATATTAGACCTCAAGAGAATGATTCATTGCGAGTTTCAATGAAGGTGTTGTTCGCAAGCGCACCGTCTGTTTCGTCTGTTGGGGCGATGTAATGGCTCTGTTGGGGTCCGAGAGTTGTCGCGTGTGCACTCCTGACGTGGTGCCATCTGTCAACAGACCTGGCTGTCAAGCGCAACCAGGACGCTGGTGGACAAGGAGCGGTTGCTCTCCGACCTCACCAAGCTGAAGGCCAACGAGCAGAGCTGCAAGGACTTCGTCAACGACGTGATCGCGCACCAGGCCGACCTGCGCTTCATCACGGTCGCCGCGCAGAAGTTCATCGACGAGAGCAAGGAGTACCTGAAGACGCTCAATGATTTCCGCACTAAGCTGCCGCAGCGTCTGGGCCACATCGAGCCGCACGAGTACCTGGTGAAGCAGGAGGTGACGCACGTGACGCAGACCTTCCAGGACCTGCTCAACCGCGCCAACAAGCTCTCCGACAAGATGAACAGCATCGGCGGCCGGCAGCGCGAGTACCAGGACGCGCTGGACCGCGCGCTCAAGTGGCTGCAGGAGGTGGAGCCGAAGGCGGAGAAGGTGATGAACGAGCCGGTGGCCGCCGAGCCGCGCGGGGTGCAGGACCAGCTGGACCGCGCGCGCCAGCTCAACAACGACATGCTCTCGCAGGGCAAGCTGTTCGACAACGCCACCGCGTCCGCCACGCAGCTGGTGAAGGCGCTCGAGGACCAGATCAGCCCGAAGGAGGGCGAGCGCATCACGAGGCCGCCAGAGGAGCTGGCCGACAAGTACCGCCGGCTCTCCGACGCCGTCATCGACCGCTGCCAGGCGCTGGACATGGCGCTGGTGCAGTCGCAGGGCGTGCAGGACGGCCTCGACTCGCTGATGGCGTGGCTGAATCAGGCCGAGGCGCGGCTCAAGTCCATCCTGAAGCCGGCCAGTCTGAACCGCGAGCGCCTGACGGAGCAGGTGCAGGAGCAGCGGCTGCTGCAGACCGACATCGACTCGCACCAGCCCAGCGTCGACCAGATCCAGCGCTCGGCCGAGGAGCTGCTGCAGACGCCGTCCAACGCGCGCATCGCCAAGAAGATCGAGCAGAAGCTGAAGGACCTGACGACGCGCTTCGACAAGCTGAAGACCAAGTGCCACGAGCGGGGCGTGCTGCTCGATGAGGTCTCGTCGCAGATGGACTCGTTCTGGACCAAGTCGGAGCGGTTCGAGCACTGGTTCATCGAGATCATCGAGGTGGTCGAGTCGCACGAGATTATCAAGCTGAACGTCGAGTCGTACACGGCCAAGATGGACGAGGTGGCGCGTCAGGCGGAGGCCAAGCGGCCCGAGTACGAGGCTGTGGTCACCGTCGGCAACAGCCTTGTCTCCAAGAAGGACGTCACCGACACCGCCATCACCAAGGAGAAAGTCAAGGTCAGCGACTTCCGCTTGCTGCCTTTCACGCCCGTGGCGTTCTGCCTCTGTTATTGAAGTACTATTGACGGACCTTTCGAGACGGCAGAAGTGATCTATTGGGCTACCCAAGTATTGGTTTTCTCGGTAGCTCAAAGCAAAGTCACGGGTCATCCGCCTGTGTCAACACTGGGACCCCACTGCACTTGATGCAAATGGTTGTGTGGACGCGGATTTCTCACAACCCAAATAATCATCGTCGTCCAGCCTCCTCCAGTCACTTCGTCGTCTTGCTTTCCCCCGCCGCAGCCCCCCCCCCCCCCCCTGGTGCCCGTCCCCCTCTCGCTGACGGTATCTCTCTCCCATTCTCGACGGCAGGAGATCGAGTCGCAGTGGAACGAGCTGCAGGAGCTGCTGGACGAGCGGCTGCGCGAGGGTCGCACGCGCTCCGACTCGCTCAGCGCCTACGAGAAGCTGAAGGAGGACGTGCTGGAGTGGCTGACCAGGATGGAGAGCAGCATCGACGCCCTGCAGCCGGTGGCTGTTGACCAGGCCCTGCTGAAGCAGCAGAGCGACGAGCTGAAGGTGAGAGCCGCGAGCGACGGCTGGGCGCGAACGGGCGCGGGATGCGGGCGGTTAGGTGTCGGAAAACACGCGGACGTTTGAGTCCGTGGTTGATGATGTAAACTTGTTTGTCTGCGGTTGAGATGGCGGCTAGACGGTTGAAGAAGCCTTGTTTAGCTTGATCTGGTCTAAGCTTAAAATGGACTGCTACCTTTTTAGTAAACATGCGTTTGGGTCCAAGTGCGTGGAGTGCAAAAAAGCCAGATGATTTCATTGCTCTGTCGCATTCAAAGGATATGGATAAGGAAAGGAGGTGGATATGGTTTTTTCGCCCGGGTCGCACGTCACTCGCTGTCATTTTTTACGAGCCCATGCTCCTCTGTCTGTCGCACACTTCGGTCACTGGCTACCCCCACCCCACCGCTTGACTCCCCCTCCGCTTCCGCAGCCGCTGATCAAAGAGCACAGCTCGTTCATGCCCACCATCGAGAAGGTCAACGACCTGGGCAACCAGTACGACGCGCTGCTGCGCGGTCGCGCCGACACGCCGGCGCGCAGGCGCTCCTCGGTCACGCCCGCCAAGCGCTCCTCCGTGTCCCACGGACGCCGCTCGGTCTCCAGCCCGCTCACGCCCGGTACGTGGCTCGGCCGTCGGCCGTCTCCCGCTGTGAGATGCTGCGGCAGTGTGTTGTGGTGGGAGGCGAGCGAATCTCTGTCATTGGAGGATCTGCTGACTGAATGGTTTGCGTATGTCGCGTATCTGTGCATCCCTGTGTTTGTGTAGGTCTGCGTGCCTGATGAATAACGCTGTATTGCGTTTTTGGCTGTCTTGCAATTTTATCGGTTTTGATCGCCTTATTGCATGTCGAGCATTGTCGGCCGGCACAGTGCCTCCCGAATGTCATTAATGGCTTTCTACCTCGCACGCAAACTCATCAACCTCACTATACCAAACCTCAAACTCATCAACCTTCCTGGCCGAACGATAGCCGTATTGTGCGTAGCCCGCTGCCGGTGTGTGTCCCGCCCATCCGCTGGCGCCTGCGCGTCGCGTGCGGTGTCATCCGTGCGCCTTGGCACCTCTGCTCGGCTGACGGCGGCCGGCCCTTGCAGTCCGCAAGGCGTCGTTCGACCTGCGCGGCTCGTCCCCGGCGCGTAGTCCGTTCCTGTCTCGCGGCGACACCAACGATGGCTTCTTCAACCTGGACGGTAGGTGGCGCGGCGGTCCTCCGCCAGCGTGCGGTCCGAGCGCAGCTGTCCGTGCCTCCCGCCAGGCAGCGACGGTTTGTGATTTATCTCGATTAGAGGGTGAGGAGATTTGGAAGTTGGTTACTCGTCTTGTCCTACATATGCGTGAGATTGTAAACGGTTTGAGGCTCACACCCGAGGTAGCAGTCTCCAGAAACCGAGCTTGTGGTCGTGCCCTGACCCGAACTGGAATAAACTGACCTGAGTTGGACTGGGCTGGCCTGACCTGACCTGACCTGACCTGACCTGACCTGACCTGACCTGACTGTCCGGCCCTCAGACCTGTCGCCGATCCAGAGCCAGCTCAACGAGATCAACAACCGCTACCAGATGGCGGGCACGCGGCTGACCGACCGGCAGGCGGACATCGACACCGTCAGCGACGAGGTGCGTCGCCACATGGACACGCTGAAGAAGCTGCAGCAGTTCCTGGACAAGACGGAGCGCCAGCTGCCGCGCGACGCCGTGCCGCAGAGCCGCGACGAGGCTGACAAGCAGCTGCGCACCCGTGCAGAAGCTGGCCGAGGACGTGGGCGAGCGGCAGCCGTCACTGGACGGCCTGAAGACGCAGGCGGGCGAGCTGCTGCGCCGGCGGCCCGGCGTGCCCGGCGCCGACCTGCTGCAGGACTCGCTCACCGACGTGGTGGAGCGCTGGCGCGCGCTGCAGGAGCGGCTCAAGGCGCGCCAGAAGCACCTGCAGGACAGCCGTCAGTTCTTCGACACGCACGAGCAGCTGACCAACTGGCTGCAGGCGAAGGAGAAGATGCTGACGGTGCTGGGGCCGCTGAGCTCCGACCCACGGCTCGTGCAGATGCAGAGCCAGCAGGTGGCCGTGCTGAGGGACGAGTTCGCCAATCAGTACCCGACCCTGCAGACGCTGAACCGCGTCGGCCAGGCGCTGGTGGACGAGGCGGAGCCGGACAGCCCCACTGCCAGCAAGGTGAGTTGCCCGGTGGGTCAGGCGGGTCCGGGTACATTGCAGCGTCCGGTATTGGCTTCTCCGTAGCCCTGCTTGCACCCCGCGTTCTCCGTGAACTGAAGATTTAGTTAAGAGAGGTGGCTGTGATTTTACCTCCCATACTGTATGACGTATGGGGGCATTCCAATGCCTTTTCGGTTACGTTTGGATTCTTAGCTGGAAAATCGGTGTGGGGCTCATTTGCTAATCGTTTTTGTCCACCCTGGACTCAGTTTGAAGTTCCTCAATTTTAAACCGTGGTTCTCTGGTGAAGGGCGTCGTGTCATCTGACGTTCTCCTCTTCCTCCAGGTTGAAGACAAGATGCGCCAGGCCAACGACAAATGGGAGGAGCTGATCTCCAAGCTGGAGGAGCGCGAGCAGACGCTGGACGCCGCCTCGGGCACCAGTCGCCAGTTCAACGACTCGCTGGGCAAGCTGCAACGCGACCTGCAGAAGATCGGCGACAACCTGGACGACCTCTCGACGGAGCGTGCCGAGCCGCAGCAGAAGCTGACTAAGCTGGAGAAGCTGCAGCACCAGGTGGACGAGCTGAAGCCGCGGCTGGTGGAGCTGGAGGCGCTGGGCGACGAGCTCTGCACCGTGCTGACCGACCCGTCGGCCAAGACCGAGGTCAAGGACAAGCTGTACCAGCTGAGCCGCCAGCAGAACCAGCTGCAGAAGAAGATGGACAACCTGCGCGCCGAGCTGGAGAACTCGCTGAAGGAGGACCGCGAGTTCGAGGACGGCTGCAGCGACGTGCAGGACTGGATCAAGGACTGCGTCGACCAGATGGGCCGCCCGCTGAAGGTATCGGCCGACAGCGACAAGCTGGCACGCCAGGTGGACGAGTACGAGCCCGTCTACAAGAACGTGATGGCGCGCGAGCACGAGGTGTTCCTCGTGCAGCGCAAGGGCCAGGACCTGATCGCCAAGACCACCAACAAACAGGAGGGCAAGACGCTGCAGAAGTTCCTCGACAAGCTGCAGAAGGACTGGGAGGGCCTGAAGAAGGACGCCGTCGCGCGACACACGCGCCTGCAGACGTGCACCGACCTCTGCCGCAAGCACCACACGGCGCTGAACAAGTTCGCGCCGTGGCTGGACAGCACCGAGGAGCGCCTGGAGCGGCTGAAGCCCATCAGCTTCCAGCGCGCCGAGATCCAGAAGCAGCTGCGCGAGATCCAGACGTTCAAGAACGACGTGTCGCTGCACTCGGGCGAGCACGAGCAGACGCAGACGAGCGGCGACACGCTGCTCAGCGCCACCGACACGGACAAGGAGGGCGTGCAGGCCGACCTGAGCGACGTCAAGCGGCGCTGGGACGCGCTGAACCGCGCCGTGCTCGAGCGGCAGCAGGCGCTGGACGACGTGCTCGCCAGGGTGGGCGAGTTCACCGACAAGCTGCGCGACCTGGACCGCTCGCTGCAGCGCTGCGAGGACAAGCTGGCCTCGCACGACGCGCTGGGCGGCGGCCGCGACCCGCGCCTGCTCGAGCGCATCGCCGAGCTGATGCGCGAGGCCGACCAGCTGGACCAGCAGCTGGACAAGGTGCGCGACCAGGCGGACGACCTCTGCGACGAAGCGCGCCACGCCGGCTCGGACGCCAGCCACATCAAGGAGGACGTGGCGCGCGTCGACGACCGCCTGCGCCAGCTGCGGGGCAAGCTGGACGACCGGCACGGTGACCTGCAGAGCGCCACGCAGGCCGTGGGCGAGGTCAACGAGCGGATCAAGCAGCTCAACTCGCAGCTCGGCCTGCTGGAGGAGGAGCTGGACGCGATGACGCCCGTCGCGCGCGAGGTGAAGATCGTGGAGCGACAGGTGACCGAGATCACCATCTTCTTGGAGAAGGTGGTGCGCGAGAAGGGCGAGCTCGACGATGCTGAGCGAACCGTCGACGACCTGGTCCAGGAGGTATGTTGGGTCTTGGGTGTGTGTTTGTGAGATATATGCGCCAGTTAGTTTGCATGCACGCCTTCCTGATGTAGTTTTTCACTGAGTGAGTGACATAATGACTAGAACCGGTGTGTGGAGAGAAGCGGCTTACATATTAGTGCTGCCTCACGAATCAACTTCTGTCACGTGGTGTGACGTACGTATGACGTGTCCAGGGCCTACCGATGTCCATCGCGACCTGACCTGACCTGACCTGACCTGACCTGACCTGACCTCCGCTGCAGGGCTATACGTCCGACGCCAAGACGCTGCGTGACCAGCTGGGCACCATGAAGCGGCAGCTGACGCGCATCGAGGACCGCGGCCAGACCCGCGAGCAGGAGGTGCAGCTGGTGCTCACCAAGCTGACCACCTTCTACCGCACCTACGAGGTCGTCGTCGAGGACATCGAGCGCGTGTCGCGCGACGAGGCGGCCCTGGCGCCGCCCGGCACCGACGTGGCCACCATCCGCCGCCAGCAGCAGGAGTTCCGCGAGTTCAAGACGACGCGCGTGGAGACGCTGTCGGTGCGCGTGGAGGACTGCAACAAGAGCGGCCAGGGTCTCGTGCAGTCGGCGTCCGCGGGCGTCAAGACGGTCGTCCTCGAGGGTGACTTGGAGAAGATGAACGATCTGTGGAACGAGCTGAAGGAGCGGGTGAGTGAGGCGCGGCTCTGGTGAATGGTTATGTCCCGGGCTGATTTTTCCCGGGTCCCGAACCGCGGGTAGCTCCCTGGTCCTTGATTATTACTTAAGTGTATGAGCATGTCGTGGAATACCTGTCAGGAATACCTTCAAGGTTGCCCTGCCGTACAGAAGCAGGACAGTTTCTAGTAACCGTGCGTCGGTTCGAAATTGCTCACTTCGTTAACGCCATGTTCAATGTGCTACTCACCAGCATCTGTGTGCCGAGAGCGGACGTGAATGTGCCATCTGTCTCTTCGCGGTGACGCACTGAAGTCCCCCAACCACCGGCCGGCACCAGACGTCCCAGTGTACTTTCGCTGACTTCCCCCCGTCTCCGGCAGATGCACAACCGGGAGCGTGCCCTGGATGTGGGCCTGCTGCAGTCCGGTAAGTTCCGCGAGGCCCTGGATGGTCTGCTGCACTGGCTGGCCGACACCGAGGAGCTGGTGGCCAACCAGAAGCCGCCGTCGGCCGACTATAAGGTGGTGAAGGCGCAGGTGCAGGAGCAGCGCTTCCTGCAGAAGCTGCTGCTGGACCGCCAGGGCTCCGTGTCGTCCCTGTTCGACATGGGCAAGGAGATCGCCAAGAACTGCCAGCCGGCAGAGCGGGCTGAGATCGAGGGACAGCTGAAGGAGCTGGTGCAGCGCTTCGACACGCTCACCGACCAGGCCACCTCGCGCATGAAGCAGCTGGAGGATGCCATGAAGGTCAGTCGCCGGCGAGGGATGTGTGGGATGGGGCTTGTCAGCGGCGGAGAGGAGGGTTGACAGCACGGTTGGGCAGGAAACGCAGGTGATCAGGCTGCGGATTTCGTGTCACACGAACCAATTGTTTGGCTATTGTGTTAGAAGCAGGGTATATGGGAACTCTTGATGCGTTTTTGAATAATTCATCAAGTTTTGACGCATAAAAATAGGGCAGTTTTTTGTTGCTTGGTGCTTTTTAAATTGTCATAGTGGTTTGCTGAATTTTAACGAGCTGTGATGTCAACATTCCGAAAGTAGTTTGTGCGACTCAATTGAGTAGCGTAGTAATGTGTCGCCATGATACGATGCGACGTGCCGTCCGTGCAGGTGGCCAAGGAGTACCAGGACACCAACAGCCCGCTCGTCCAATGGCTGGAGAAGATGCAGAAGCGCCTGAAGGACATGGAGACCATCCCCACCGACGAGGAGAAGATCCAGCGGAAGATCGATGAGCACGACGTAAGTACACGCGTGTGCTGTCATTGAAGCCTTCCCCGCTATCGTGAACGTGTGGCCAATGTCGTCCCCAAATCCAGCTGACCGGCCGCAGCTGACCGGCCGAAGCTGACCTCAAAATACGCTGGCACGTTGTGAGACCCCGACCGTGGTCATCGTCGTCCAGCCGACGTCATCAACGCCGTCGCCGCCCGCAGGACCTGCACCGCGAGATCGTGAGCCACCGCGGCGACTTCGACGAGCTCGCGCGCATCGCCACCGTGCTGATGGAGCTGGTGGGCGACGAGGAGGCGCAGGCGCTGGCTGACCGGCTGCAGGAGGTCACCGACGCCTACACCAAGCTGGTGGACGACAGCGAGGCGCTGGGCCGCCTCCTGCGCGAGGCCGGCTCCCAGTTGCGCTCGCTGGTGCTCAACTACGAGGACTTCCTGGCTTGGATGGATGAGATGCAGCAACGCCTGAGCAAGTACAAGGTGCTCTCGGTGCACGTCGACAAGCTGCACGAGCAGATGGCGGAGCTGACGGTAAGGAGGGCGGCGGGGCGCACGCCGCTGTCGCCGTCGCCGACTGTAAATAACATGATTGCATGCCTGTGGTGTTGCGGCGCTCCCCGTGGAGCCTGTACATACCGCGGTTTGGGGTGGCGTTCACTCTCTCCCGTTAACACCCCGCATGTGTGCATGGTCGCTGTTGGCGTTGGGTGTGACTCTCTCACGCACGTGACTCCCCCCGGGCACTCGGCGGGTTTGTGTCCCGCTCGGGGCCGGCACCCTCACTGCACGCGTCCGGCTGCTAACGCCCGGCCTTCTTCACTGACCCTCAGGCGTGTCGCGCCGACATAGCGCTACAGCGTCCCCTCTATGGCCAGCTGATGGCCGTGCGTCAGGTATTGCACCCTGTTCTGTCCCCCCCCCCCCCCCCCCCCCCGCTGCCTCTGTAGCGTCTCTTGTCTCTGGACGTCCTTGTCGACGTATATCGCGACCGCTTTTGGCGCTGGTTGACTAACTTTCTCGTGGGTGGGTCGGCTTTCCACACCCCGCTGTAAATGTTGCGCAAATCCTCACGCTTATGCCCGCGTTTGGTTACTGACTGTCATCTGCGCACGAGGAATCGACGGTAGATTCGAGAGAGAAGTTCATTTATTTGTTGTGGCCTCTAGTTTAATAATGGTAATTTGTTGGGTAATGGGTACCATTTGTTGACCTTAACTTGTCTGTCATTACCGCCACTTATTCCATCCTTGCTTCTTGTCCGCAACCCGCAACGTGTCCGCTAATTTCATGCTCACCCGTCTATGACGCCCTAGTCTCTCGAACGACGTGGCTGATTGTAACGTCTGTAACAAGCGCGTTGGGTGCCATAACAGCTGCCGTCACCAGCGATTTTGTGCTAACCATTTGCCAAGCGCGCAATCGTGTCACGAAAATTTAAATCGTTACTTGTGCGCGTCGCGGTACGACCGCGTGCGTCATCGCTCCGTCCGTCTCGAGCGTCGTCCGCCCGTGGCGCGGGCCGGGCGCCGCGCGCGCCGCCGGCGGCGCGGCCGCTGCGCCTGGTGACGCCGCGCCCGGCGCCGACAGGACCTCAGCGAGGAGGTGGACCAGCACCGCGAGCCCGAGCGTGAGCTTCAGGACATCGGCGCCGAGCTGATGAAGCACATCTCCAGCGACGAGGCGCTCCAGCTCAAGGACAAGCTGGACTCGGTGTCGCATCGCTACTCGGACCTCGAGAATAAGGTGGGCGTGCGACAGCGCTGTGCGGCGATTGGCTGGCGGTGGAGACGGTGCCTGGACGGTCTTTCAAGCTGATGAGAATTACTGTGCGAAGTGTTAATGATTGGGGACGACAGTGACTTATTCCATGTCCTCAAAATGTCAAATGGCACCGGATCGTCGTGCGTGTCTTTGCCGTGAGCGTTATACGTGTGCGGCTTAGTCATTTATGCATGAAGGGGTAGCAATTGGTCATGGGAATCGACGAAGGCGGGGTCGATGCAATGCCAGCATTCTTTATTCACATAGTCAAGCGTTCCAGCCCTGCTCAGTCCAGCCTGTAGCAAACTCTAACCCGTCGCCATCCCGGCCTCTGGACAGGCGGGTTCGCTGCTGAAGAACGCTCAGGAGGTGCTGCCGCTGGTGCACGCCTTCCACCAGGCGCACAACAAGCTGACCGACTGGCTGATGGCGGCGGAGCAGAGCCTGCAGACGGTCGACTCCCAGCCCAACGCTGAGGAGATCATGGAGCAGCTGGAGAAGGAGGTGGGCAGCGGCGGGGAGGCAGGCGGACTTGGTGCGGCGGCGGCGGGAGGCGTCGGGATTAGGCGTAGGCGAGCTGTTGCGATGACCACGGTGTGGACGATACCATCGGCTTGTGTCGCTGCGCTGTTCGTGGTTAAAGGATTTGATGCAGATAAGATGTAGAGATGTATAGATCACATACAGGTCACAAACAGATCACACACAGATCACACGCATGGAGCCCGCCGCCTGACGGCTGTTCGTATCACGGGGACCTCGTGACCGGCACTGTGTGCCCCGCACCTGTGCGTGACCGGCGGCCGCGTGACTCGTGCCCGCGCGTGACCCACGCCCATGCGTGACCCGCGCCCGTGCGTGACCCCAGGTGCAGGAGCACCGGGCACTGCTGGACCAGGTGAACCAGGCCGGACCGCAGCTGAGCCAGATCTCGCCCGGCGACGGCGCGCAGACCATCGAGTCGCTGGTGACGCGCGACAACCGCCGCTTCGAGGCCATCGTCGAGCAGGTGCAGCGCAAGGCTGACCGTCTGCGCCAGGCCAAGCAGAAGCATGCCGAGGTGGTGCTCGACATCGACGAGCTGCTCGACTGGTTCAAGCAGGTCAGTGCGGCGGCGTGGCAGGCTCTGCTGCTGTCAGTGGTGCACTGGTCGCTCGTATAGTGTGGTGGGGATGATTCTGGGAATGCGAGGCGATGTACGTGGATGGGTGTGAGTAGGTGGTGGAGGATAAGCCGAACGGAGACATGCGTCCTCGTCTGGTGATTTCACTGTACTGTGTCGACCTCTAAATCTGGTTTGTGAAAGCTTGAGCGGGCTGGGTCGGCTAGGGTAACCACGCTTGCTACGCTCCAAGTCCTTTTAGCCAGCGTCTTTGACAAGATACTCCATAGCAGACCCCGCGCGTGACTGTCACAGCTGATCGTTGTCCGAACTTACCTCCCTCGTCGTCGTCGCGCTCTCTTCCTCTCGCCCCGCCCTGACGGCGCCCGCTCTGGCCGCCAGGTGGAGGCCCAGATGAAGTCCGCGCCGCGCCCCAGCTCCGACCCGGATGCCATCCGCACCCAGCTGAAGGAGCAGCGCGCGCTCAGCGACGAGATCAGTGGCCAGAAGGGCCGCGTGCGCGACCTGCTCAGCTCGGCCAAGAAGCTGATCCGCGACGCCGCGCACTACGACGACGTCAGCGAGATCCGCGAGAAGGCCGACCAGCTGAAGGACACCACCGACTCGGTCAGTTGCTCCCGCACTTTGACGAATGCTGTGTGCGCGTCGGGGCAGTCGCTTTGTTGTTTGTAGGTAGGGATAAAGGCATTGTGCATTAGTCTCGCAATGAACCGGGGATAGTGATGGTAACTTGCGATTATACGGGGTAGCTTGTAATCAACCTGGCTCATACTGAATACGTTTTATGTAAGCACTTTGCGAAATGGAGCTGCGTATTAAGATGCATGCGTCTAATAACACGCTTGTATTTCAACTGGATGGTGCCGTCTCCTTCGGCTGCCGGCCCGGTCCCTTTCACGCTACACGAGACCCTCCTGTGTCATCCAGCCGCCGTAAGCCGCTGGGTTCTACCGGCTGGTGACCAACAACGAGCTCAGCTCTGAGCTAGAAAATTAACACGAACGCGGCCAGAACCCCTAGCTTGATGCAGTCCTGCGCGCGGGCCGTGCCTCGCTCTGACCGTCGCTGTGCCGCAGGTGAGCAAGCTCTCCTCGGACCGACTGAGCGTGCTGGAGCAGGCGCTGCCGCTGGCCGAGCACTTCTACGACACGCACCACGAGTTGTCCGAGTGGCTGGACGAGGCCGAGGACGAGGCGATGCGGCTGGACGTGCCGGCGCTGCGGCCCGAGCAGATCCAGCGCCAGCAGGACAAGAACAAGGCGCTGCTGCAGAGCGTGCAGGAGCACAAGCCGATGGTGGATAAGCTGAACAAGACGGGCGCCGCGCTCGCCAGGCTCGTCACCGATGATGAAGAGCGCAAGGTGAGGAAGGGGAATGTCTTTTGACAGGGGCGGTTATGGTCAGCCACTGAAACGTCGGTGGTGTGAGAGTGATACTTGTGCTTGAGAGCTGTGAGAGCTCATAGCGGGTGTGGTGAAAGGTGTAAGTGATGGCCACTCGTCGGTTGAGTTTATAGTGATCCTAGTGCATCATGCTGTGTTTATAATTCAATGAAGGCGTTCAAGATCTCCCCTCCACACACCGGCCACTGGCGTGTTCCCTGCCTCGACCGTCAGCTGAGCACCTCGCCACGAGCTGGCCGGTGTGATCGCCCCTGCACAGTGTCCGACCTCAGCCCCAGTTGTCGGCTTCGTCGCTAACCTGCCGATGTGCCCCCCCCCCCCCCCGCCCCTCCCCGCCGCCGCTCGTCCCCAGGTGTCGGACATCATGGAAACGGACAACGTGCGGTACACGGCTCTGCGCGCCTCGCTGCGTGAGCGGCAGCAGGCGCTGGAGGAGGCGCTGCAGGAGTGCTCCCAGTTCGCCGACAAGCTGGACGGCATGCTGTCGGCGCTCAAGGACACGGCCGACCAGGTGGACAACGCCGAGCCCATCTCGGCGCACCCCGACCGCATTCACGACCAGATGGCCGAGAACAACGCCATCATCGACGACCTGGAGAAGCGCGCGTCGGCCTTCGACGCCGTCAAAAAGGCGGCGGCTGACGTCATCAGCAAGGCGGGCAGCGCCTCCGACCCGGCCGTCAAAGGTGGGACGGCGCGGGGACTGAAGGGGGCTGGGGGATTGTCGCCGTCTAGGAGATGGGTGACTTTCATGGCTCGATTGGGTTTGCGCACTAATGTGCACGAGGAGCAGCACTGATCATGGAACACGTGTAACGAACTTGACTCCTACTCGCCTTCGAATTTATTTCTGCGTGTGCTGAGGAAGTACGCGCAAGATGATAGGTCGAAGCCGATGCCTGACTGCACCTGTTGTAACGTCCGTCGCTGTGTTGTTGCAGACATCAAGAAGAAGCTGGACAGCCTGAACAAGCTGTGGGACCACCTGCAGACGGCCACTAACGACCGCGGCCGCTGCCTGGACGACGCGCTCGCCATCTCGGAGAAGTTCTGGTCGGAGCTTCAGTCCATCATGAAGGCGCTGAAGGAGCTGCAGGACACGCTGACCAACCAGGAGCCGCCGGCCATCGAGCCCAGCGCCATCAAGGAGCAGCAGAAGGTGCGCGCGCCGATGGCAGGCGGCGGCCGGGCTGGACACAGGCCGCAGGGTTTCCTCGCTGATCGCGGCCGCCCTCGCTCGTCCAGGGGTCATATTTCTACGGTTGGGGCTGTTTTGTATGCAGCGAACTAAGTTTCGTTGTTCTGTGCTGTCAGTTCTGCTGTGCAGTCTATCGATGTAAGTGTCCGTTGCTTTAGCTTTCGTACTGCCAGCCTTGGCGAAGCATCGCGTTTCGCCGCTCTCACTGACTCGTTCTCACCCGTGTCCGCGCCCTTGTGAACGGTCACAGCCCCGTGCTCACGCGTCGCCGCCGCCGCCGCCCGCAGGAGCTGAGCGAGATCCGCCAGGAGCTGGACCAGGCCAAGCCGGATGTGGACCAGGTGCGCCGCACCGGTCACGACCTCATGAAGGTGTGCGGTGAGCCCGAGAAGCCCGAGGTCAAGAAGAACCTGGCCGACCTCGACTCGACCTGGGACAACATCACGGCGCTGTACGCGCGCCGCGAGGAGAACCTCATCGACGCCATGGAGAAGGCGATGGAGTTCCACGAGACGATGCAGAACCTGCTGGAGTTCCTGGAGGACGCCGAGGACCGGCTCTCGTACTTGGGACCGGTCGGCTCTGACATTGACGCCATCAAGAAGCAGATCAAGCAGCTGATGGACTTCAAGAACGACGTCGATCCCCAGATGGTGAAGGTGGAGGCGCTGAACAGGTAAGCGAATGCTGCCGTTGGCGAAGCGGTTGTTGTAACTAGCCGTACGTTTTGCGGCGCGGTGGATGTTAGACGCCTGACGGGGCAGTAAAGCTGTCGTGTTGGCTGAGGGTAGAGACCTGTGTTTGTCCTGACCTTGGACGTGTTGTCTTCTGCCCCACGTGCTCTCCCGCGGCGGTACTTTGCCACGCTTGCCCAGCCGTCGCTCTTTCCCCGTCCCCGGATCGCAGCGGGCTCGATGTCGTTTGTCCCGTCTGGGCGATGGAGTGGTAACTCCGTGACCGTCTCTTTCATATCGGTTGTGAGCAGGAGCATACGAAGGCAAGTTGGGTGTGAGCTTGGCTTTTCTGTTCCCGCTGACGGGCAGGCATCGACAGGTGTCGAGCTGAACACCTCACCTGCAGAAGCTTCTCTCATTCTCTCGCTCTGCCGCTGACCCAATGAGTTCCCTCGCGCTGTCGACCGCAGTCGCTGTCTGGGTGTTGGCGTGCTTGCCCGAGTGGCGTTTCAGTTGTCTGTCCTGTTCATTTGTTGTCGGCACGGCGCCGAACGGGTGGCCACCTCTGCACTCACAGCGACACTTCGCGGCAGATACCTGTTTGCTGCTGCATCCTTGGGTTGCTCGGTGTGCACGCCCCTCGTGCGCCCCTCAAAATTTGGCTGACGTGTGTGTGCTTGCGAGGCAGAGCTGAGTTGAAACCCATCAGCGCAAGGATCCTCATACGTGGGACAACTTTTTAATGCGTTATCTCGCCAAAACGTCTGCTGTGGTGTTGCTGTGGTGCGCGGGGGTCTTCCTCGCGCACCCTCTCCTGCCCTCCGGCCCCGTCTAGCCTCGCCTGGAGCGCTGTCTCACCAGATCCCCCGGGACCGGCAGGCAAGCGCAGGAGCTGATGGAGCGCACGTCGCCGGACCAGGCGGCCGCGCTGAAGCAGCCGCTCTCCGACATCAACACACGCTGGGACGAGCTGCTCAAGGGCATCGTGGAGCGGCAGCGCGAGCTAGACCACGCTCTGCTGCGCCTGGGCCAGTTCCAGCACGCGCTGGACGAGCTGCTCGTGTGGATCGGCCGCACGGATAAGACGCTGGATGGACTGCGGCCCGTGTTGGGCGACCCGCAGGTGAGCGGGCACCGGAGGCGACGGAGACGGGAGGACAGCCTCCGCTTGTGGGGCACGGGTAGACTTTTGATGTGGTGTCGTTGGGTTTACGTTGGTGTTTTCCGCCTGATGATCGGCCAGCTGTTTGTGCCGCCCGCGCGGTGACGCGATGTGACGTGTGCAGAAGTAAATAGTGACGTCGCTTATAATGGAAAGTCGGCTCGTTTCGATCGGTTTCACGGGCGTCTTCGTGGTGTTACGATTGGAGGAGTACCGACTGCCTGACGTTTCACGCCACCCGCGTCTCGTCTCTTCAGGTGATCGAGGTGGAGCTGGCCAAGCTGAAGGTGTCGGTGAACGACATCCAGGCGCACCAGACGTCGGTGGACACGCTGAACGACGCTGGACGCCAGCTGATCGAGTCGGACAGCGAGTCGGCCGACGCCAGCACCACGCACCGCAAGCTACGCCAACTGAACGAACGCTGGGCGGAGCTACAGGAGAAGGCCGGCGGCAAGCAGCGCGACTTGGAGGCGGCGCTGAAGGACGCGCAGGACTTCATGACCGAGATCCAGGACCTGCTGTTCTGGCTGAACGACCTGGACGGCGCGCTCACCACCAGCAAGCCGGTGGGAGGCTTGCCCGAGACGGCCAAGGAGCAGCTGGAGCGGTTCATGGAGCTGTTCAGCGAGCTGGAGGACAACCGATCCAAGGTGGACTCGGTGCTGACGCGTGGAGACGCGTACCTGAAGAAGTCGAAGGAGGGCGCCAGCACCAACCTCAAGCACAACCTGAAAACGCTGAAACAGCGTTGGGACCACGTGATGAACCGCGCCAACGACAAGAAGATCAAGCTGGAGATCGCGCTGAAGGAGGCGACCGAGTTCCAGGAGGCACTGCAGGAGTTCGTCGACTGGCTGACGAGCGCCGAGAACGTGCTGACCAACCTGCAGCCGGCCTCGCGCGTCATGGACAACATCGTCGGACAGATCGACGACCACAAGGAGTTCCAGAAGGAGGTGAGCGCGCACCGTGAGTATATGCTGAACCTGGACAAGAAGGGCACGCAGCTCAAGTACTTCTCGCAGAAGCAGGACGTGATACTGATCAAGAACATGCTGCTGTCGGTGCAGCACCGCTGGGAGCGCGTCGTCTCCAAGTCGGCCGAGCGCACGCGCGCACTCGACATCGGCTACAAGGAGGCCAAGGAGTTCCACGACTCGTGGGCCGACCTCTGCGGCTGGCTGGACGACGCGCTGCAGGCGCTGGAGGAGACGGAGACGTCGCTCAGCAACACGCCCGACCGCATCCGCGCTCTGCTCGACAAGCACAAGGAGTTCCAGCGCGCGCTGGGCGGCAAGCAGTCGGCCTATGACCACGTCATCAAGCTGGGCCGCGTGCTGATCAAGGACAAGGCGCCCAAGGAGGAGGAGCCGCTGCTGCGCGAGATGCTGGACGAGCTCAAGGAGAAGTGGAACACGTGCTGCAACAAGTCGGTGGAGCGGCAGCGCAAGCTGGAGGAGGCGCTGCTCTTCAGCGGGCAGTTCAAGGAGGCCATCCAGGCGCTGCTCGACTGGCTGAAGAAGGTGGACGGCCAGCTGGAGGAGGACGCGCCGGTGCATGGCGACCTGGACACGGTGACGCAGCTCTGTGAGCAGCACAAGACGCTGGAGCAGGAGCTGGCTAGCCGCGCCCAGCAGGTCGAGTCGATCCAGAAGACGGGCGAGGACCTGATGGACAAGGCCGACAAGAAGGATGCCGCCGTCATCAAAACCCAGGTGGGTGTGGCGCGGAGGCAGGATAGCGCTGGGGGCTGGGTGGGCGTCGTTCGGTGTGTTTGGGGCGGGAATCGAGTGTTAAGGTGTTCATTGCGTAGGACTGGAAAAAACGTAGGGGCTTGACATTATATGCATGACATTTCCGAGTGCGACATTCGCTATCACGTAAGCCGACTAAAAGCACGTGCTACAGATCTTTGGATGGGGTCATGTGTTCTCAGCACTTTGCAGTGCTCCGAATTGTTAATAGACCTCCGCGTTTCACGCGTGGACCGATAATCCCCACATGTCAGCGGTGTCCTCCACGGACCACTTCCCTGCTCTGCCCTCGCTTGACCTGACCTGACCCGTCCCCGACCTGGCGCGGCAGGTGACGGAGCTGACCACCACGTGGACGTCGGTGGTGCGCTCGTCGGACGCGCGCAGCGGCCGGCTGAAGGACGCGCTGCGCGACGCCGAGCACCTGCACCGCGACGTGCACGGCCTGCTGGAGTGGCTGAGCGAGGCCGAGACGCGGCTGCGCTTCGTCGGCGCGCTGCCGGCCACCGAGGAGGAGGCGCTGCGCCAGGCCGACGAGCACGCCAAGTTCATGCAGGAGCTGGCCGACAAGGAGGGCGAGAAGGACGACACACTGCGGCTGGCGGCCGAGATCCTCGAGAAGGCGCACCCGGACGCCGTGCCCGTCATCAAGCACTGGCAGACCATCATCGAGTCGCGCTGGGAGGAGGTCAGCAGCTGGGCGCTGCAGCGCCAGAACCGGCTGGACGAGCACCTGGCCGGCCTGCGGGACATGCAGGAGCTGCTGGACGAGCTGCTGCGCTGGATCCGCGAGCGCGAGCAGCGCCTGATCGAGCTGGAGCCGGTGCCGCTGCCGGACGACAGGCCCAGCGTCGAGCACCTGATTCAGGAGCATCAGGAGTTCATGGAGGACCTGCAATCCCGCCAGCCCGATGTCGACTCCATCTGCAAGCCCAAGCACAAGGGCCTGCGCAAGAGCTCGCGCGGCAAGAGGTGAGTACGAGTGAGGCGTGCGCGGCGCGCGGCGCTCGCCACTTCGGCATGTGGTGCGTTACGCCGTCCCCGCACGCGGCCCGTGACTCGTCACGCCTTCCCCGCCCGCGGCCCGTGACTCGTCACGCCTTCCCTGCACGCGGCCCGTGACTCGTCACGCCTTCCCCGCCCGCGGCCCGTGACTCGTCACGCCTTCCCTGCACGCGGCCCATGACGCGTCACGCCGTCCTCGCACGCGGCCGGTGACGCGTCAAGCCGTTCCCGCACGCGGCTCGCGGCGCGTCCCTCTCGGCCGCCGCCGCCGGTGCCGGCGCCCCCCGCGGCCGCCGCGGCCGGTCGGCCGGTCCCGCACGTTCGTCTGCCTGTCTGTGCGCCTGCCTGTGTGTGAGCACGGCCGTCTCCGCTGAGCGGCGCCGTTCTGCCGCCGTTTCAGTCCGTCTCCGACCCGGGCTGTGCCGATGCTACGTCGACCCAGGTGCCTGTTGTCTCTGATCGATCCTAACGACGGCTAACGAGTGTAGCGGGGCCCGTAGCCGGACCCCGGTAGTTCGTAGTGATTCACGTGGTGATGGTAGAGTTGTAGCTCGGTTTCCAGATCCAGACCGCCGTGCACGGACTTGTTCTGGTCCAACCGTCCTGATCCGTCCGATCCAACCGTCCTTGACCATGGCCATGCAACGTTCATCCTGACGACCCTTTGCATTTCTGTGTTGTCGGTTATCTTTCCGTCTTGCACCTGCATGATGGTTCGAGGTCTGTAGTATTCTCCGTGTTTGTTTCCATCGTCTCCAGATTCCTGTCACGAAGCTGGCAGTGTGCTGCACTGTCCGACGCTCCAGATAATAACTGCGTTCTTTATTCTCGCTTTACAATAATTATAACAACCACTCTGCACTATTCGGCTGGATCTTCAAACTTTCCGTAGTTTTTAGAGCATTTCAATTTACTACTCATATGCTGTCGTGACATTTGTCGTGTGCTAGAAGTTAACGGATTTAAGACATTCAGAAGGCGAGGGGACCTAGGAGACGCAATACGTATGACCTTAAATTTATGATTAAACAATATGATGCTCCAATATCATTTGTTGGGATTACTCAGCCATACCTGGTTCTCGTCTTAGTCACGTTATATTCCGTCGTTGCTAGTCGGGTGTGTTCTCAAGCTTTTCGATGGCGGAGTTTTGTTTATTTTTGTTTGACAGCCTTCTGGAACAGGCAAGGTCGTTCGATGAGCGCTACTCAGTGTTGCATGTCTGGCCTGATCAGTTCGTTTGTTTTGCATCCGCAGAAGCCGTTTAGCGCGATGTAGTAGCGTCAGTTACTGCTCTACTTGTACGCATATTTTACGTTTATTTTGTCCGTTTACAGCCAGTTTAGTCCTGACCGCGAAGGATCGCCGAGCAAGAAGAGGTGAGTTCGGCCTCAACGCTGGGTCCCGGCCCCTGCTTCGTGTGACGCCCCCGGTGGAGGGCTGTGTGGAATGTCAGTCTGCGGTGGTGGTTCTTGACATTTCGCTGTCGCTTCCACGAGTGCTGCGTTCTGCGCACAGCGCTCGCACACACACACATACACACTGCGGTGGAGGGTCGGCCGTTTGTAGAGCTTTCCTGGGCGGGCGGAACGCGTCGGCGGAGCGGAGGTGAGGGGCCGGATACGGCGCGCGCCACAGGTGCCGCCGTGACTCCGCCTGGGCTGACAGACGCCGCCTGCGCCAGCCTACGCCCAGCACGGGCTTGCATGAGAAATGGCTTGGCCCTGGCGCACTGAGAGAGATTGATGAATGGAGTTAAGGACTCCGTTGGATGGCCATTGATGGACGTGATAAGCAACTAACTGGGCTACAACGCCGCAATATCCTGGCGGGATATTAACCACCTCAACCTCCAGCCTGATTCCATGCCAATATATCCCGATCGCCACTTTCTCCCCTCATCCCACCCCTGGCTGGTCCACTTTCTCCCCTCATCCCACCCCTGGCTGGTCCTCTGTCCTCCAGGGCTCGGTGGGGAATTTGCCTTTCCCAAGCCACGCCCCTCCCGTTTTGCCCCGGCTTTAACACATTAAATATGGTCTTTGCGGTACAAGGTGACATATTTTATTTTAACAAGGTGTACAGCGTTGGGACGCTCCTAACACATATATGGTAAAGGCCTAACTCGGATATTAACTGGGAGGTTAAATGTGTTGTGTCTGCACAAGCAACGCTTTAAATAGTTTTTTTGCTCTGTTTGTTTTGGTTTGTCTTGCGAGCATAATGTTGGTACGCTTTTCAGTCGCTGTATTGTGACTATAAAGCAGTTTTGCCACATGTATTTTCCATATGCAAGGGTGCATTTTCACATCATTACCTAACTCTTGAGAATTGGTCTGGCGTTGTAGCTAATCTCGTAGTAATGAGTAGCTTTGTGCCGTCCGTAGTAGTCCATATGTGCTTCTGCCAACGGCGGTCGTGCTGCCCGCTCCCAGCCCTTTTGTGAATGGAGTTCAGTCTTTTGATTAATTGTACATGGGTTTTGTCCGAGGATCAATACTTGCGTAGTGGGAATTGCCGAACAGAATGCGAAAAATGTACCATCTTCAAGTGAGGCAAGTCAAGTCATGTATGAAATTTCTGCCGGACATTCCCTCTTACGTCGTTGCGTCAGCATCGATTCAGCGTCCACTTCACGGGCGTTCCCGAGGGGGGTGGGGAGGGGGCAGCCGACCGCCGTCCGGCACGTCCGTCCGTAGAGCGCCGGCTGCGCGTGCGCCGGCGGCCGCGGTGCCGCTCGGGCCGGCGCTGACCCGGCGCGCCCATGTCTGTCAGCAGCCAGGGCAGCCCCGAGCGCGAGGTGTCGCCGGTACGCGACTATGACAAGCCTTGGCTGACCAACGCCAGGTACTAGAGCCGGTTGCGGCCGCTGCCGCGGCGCTGTGGACGTCCGGCGTCGGCGGAGGCCTCGCGCTGGAGCGTCGTGTCTGAGATATCGAGCGTGTACCGAGGGTCGTGCGTTGTGTTTTTTGTAATGATGCAAATGCGGCTGGTACAAGTGCTGGTAAATGGAACGCGGAATTTTTGTGTGAGTCGTCGCGTCAGAACCGTTTGATTTCAGTTGGTTATAGCATTTGAGCTGCCTTTCGGCTGGTAACACGTGTTTTGAAGTAGCACGGTTTGCAATGGCTTGTGTCTATCTCAGATGTTTGGGAGCATCGAATGCACGCAGTAGCTTTCTTTGCATGGCATGTCCAAGCCCGTTTTGCTTCGTTATGATTTGGTCCCGGGTGCAGGCACGACTCCCGCATTAAGCCAGTGTCTTCTCCTTGATCTCTCGACTCGGTCTGTTGACTGAGCTCCCACGGTCGGCGGTGCGGGCCGCCGTCGGGCTGGCACCGCTGGCCCGTGTGCGGCCGGCGCCGCCGGCGGGGTCCCTGACCGTGGGGCCTGCCTGCACCCGGGGCCTGGCGCGCCCGAGCCGGCCGCCGGCGGCTGACGCATGCGCCCGTGCCGCGCCGCCCCGCAGGGCCAGCCCGGAGCGCTCCGACGCCGCCTGGCCTCGCATCGGACCCGTGTTCCACGAGGCGTCGCCGGCGCCGGCCGGCGGCCGCAAGGCCAGGTAGGTGGCGCTGCCGGCGCGCCCACCGGCTCTCCGTGGGGACAGGGCGCGCGAGGCGGCGTACACGCGGGGGGTGACGGGGCACGGGGCACGGGAGGGCAGCCGCACGACACCGCCAGGTGGCAGGCCGTGCGGGTAGTGGAGGCCGCTGGCGCCGGTTGATGGTGAAGGTGAGAGTTTGTGTTCTGTTTGATCGTGTTGTGGTTTTGGGTCCAGTGGTAGCAAGGAGTGGAGCAGGTAGGGTGGTCGGTGCTACTAGCTTTTGTAGGTAATCGGGTGGCCATAAATAACTTGTTGAGCAAAGGTCAAATCGACTTGATCTTTTGCTTGTGTTGTCAATCGCAAATTTGATTCGCGCGATGCCGCTGGTCAGCTTTATTTATTTTGGACTCTTCGTGTGCATTGGGGTGAAGGGAAATGAATGCATCGTTCAGTTCGCATTTTGAGCCCTATAAATAATTACGGGCGTGCAAAATCAGAATATCCAGCCAAGGGTGAAAGGCCCCTCTTCCTAGTTTTAGCACGTTCCTATACACAGCAGCCCCGCCACAACCACAAAACTCCAACCCTCCCCCCCCCCCCCCTAGCCACGCTGCCCGCCCCACCCCCGGCGGCCGCCTCTAACGCCGTCGGCGGTCTTCCCCAGTCGCCAGAGCCTGAGCGAGCCGGTGCTGAAGACGCCGCGCCAGCGCGAGCTCTGGGACGCCTGGCGCAACACCTGGATGCTGGCGTGGGAGCGCCAGCGCCGCCTGCAGGACAAGTTCAGCTACTCGCAGGAGATGGAGAAGCTGCAGGACTTCGACTTCGAGGAGTGGCGCAAGCGGGTGAGCGCGCGCACGGCGTGGGTGCCGCTCTTGCGGGTGCGCGCGCGGCGTGGGTGCCGCTCTTGCGGGCGCCTTGGCCGTGTTGGGGAGGTCGTGACGACTCTGACGGCGTCAGGAGAGTGGATGCTCACGGAAAGGAGGAGCGAGGACTGCCGGGTCGTATTTTGTGACCGCTTTTTGCGGTGCCTCCGACCACATGACTGTGCTCACGATGTGTGTGTACATTGATGTTCGATTTGCCCCACCGTGAAGCGAACAGGACTCGTGTGGCATAGCGTGACGGGCGCTAGTGGCAGCCTCGCCTTCACTAACGAGCGGCCCGTCCTGCAGTTCATGAAGTTCGCCAACCAGAGGAAGATGCGTATCACCGACCTGTTCCGCCGCCTCGACACCGACCACGACACCTTCCTGACCAAGGAGGAGTTCATGGACGGCATCATGAACCTGAGTACGCCTCCGAATGTGCATGTCACCTAGCTGTTGTCGCATGCCCGCTTCATGAGTACCGTGAACGAGAGAGTTCGCCACGTGGTACGCTCGACATGCGAAGAAGATCGTTAAATTGATCGTTCGTTAAATCAACACACAATTTGGAAGAACTGTACTGTAAATCTTATGTAGGTCATCGCTGTTTTAGGAGTTGCCAATTTCATGGTGGCGACAGTATCCTGCGCTACATCTCACTGCACTGTCATGAGACCGATTCTACGCGCCTCATTCAGTGCCCCCACCACAGACTCGGTGAAGTGTCGTTTTGGGCCGTGCGCCTGTCGTGACAGTGGCCAGCGTGTCGTCCCCCTTCCCCCACCTTCTCCCCCTGATGCTAACCTCGTGCGCCTGCGCAGACTTCCCCACCTCTGGACCGGAGATGCGGATGGTGGCGGACTGCGTGGACAAGAACCAGGACGGCCTGATCGACTACAATGAGTTCATGTCGGCGCTGCGGCCCGACTGGGAGAAGAACCAGCCGCTCACCGACGCCGAGAAGATCGACGACGAGGTTAAGAAGCTGTGCGCCACGTGCATGTGTCGCACCAAGTTCAAGGTGTTCCAGGTCGGCGAGGGCAAGTACCGGGTAAGTGGCGCCGGCTGGCGGCGACGGCATGAAACAGGGCGGCGGGCGCGGATTGCCGGCAGTTGGTACGCATATCGGCCATTGCCCTCCCCCCCCCCCCCCCTCGATTCGAGAGCGGCCGGGCCGCTGATCGGGTGATGTGCTTGAGGGGCGCATCTTCAGTTAAATCATCGACAAGTGGTCTGTTCTCGTGCGCTGAGGCCGCTCAGCTGCGATCCACGGGCAGAATTTAGCAGTTACCCGACGCTCGGAGCTGTGGCCCCTGGTACGGTATAGCCCCCTTCCCTGGCCTCCCACGCCCCCTTGCCTCTTTGTCCAGCCCCCACAGCCCCTGACCTGCCCGGTCTGTGCTCCAGTTCGGCGACAGCCAGAAGCTGCGCCTGGTGCGCATCCTGCGCTCGACGGTCATGGTGCGCGTCGGCGGCGGCTGGGAGGCGCTCGACGAGTTCCTCGTCAAGAACGACCCGTGCCGAGGTGAGCCGGCCAGGCGGCGGCGGACGGCCGCGCGCCCGGACGCCGCCCGGTGGAGGGCCGGAGTCGCGCGGAGCCGACGCGCCGCGGCGCCCGACTGCTCGCGGTGGACTGTGGCGGACTGTTGACCACTCACTTGCAGAGGAGGGACGAGGGTGGATCGGCGCTGGTTGTTCGATGTCGGTGTGAGCTCGAAGCGTGCGCGCCTGCCGTTGCTAACAGCTGCCGTGGCGTGCGGCGCCGCGAACTGACCGCCGCGAGCGCTGATAACCCCGCGCGCCGTGTTGACTGTTTGCACGGTATTAACACCGCTAAACTTCCAGTGTGCATCGCCGCCACGCATTCAGGTCAGGCTTCTAACCTCGGTGCGGCTGGCCGCTTTGTACAGTGCCCCGAGACCGCCTCACCGCCGCTGTACTAACAGGCCGTGTGCCCGCTCCCCGCTCTGCCCGCCCCGCCGCTCGCTCCGCTCCTCTCTCCTCGTGCCCGCCACCCGCGCCGCGCCACCGGCCTGCCTGAAGTTCACGTTCTGTTTTCCAAAGAGGTGTGTATGTCCCGGCGACTGGTTCTGGAAGAGCAGCACGAGCGAGGATGCCCTATGAACGAACAGTGTAAGCCACTAACCGCCGCTCACTGCGCATGCGCGGAGACGCCGCACGCGGGGCTTCCGGTGGTGCGCGTGCGCTCATAGAACAGGCGGCATGACACTCGGGGCTTCGTGCATCCCACCACAGGCAGCACGCCGTGGGCGGCCGAGCAGGCCGCTACCTGCCGTCTCTCTGTAGATGTAGCTGCTGGCATGTCACCGGTACAGACTGGAACAGGGACACCAGCTCCGCATGCTATTGCTTGCCGATTGAGCCGCCTGCGCTGAGAGGTTGTGTGAGTGTGTGTGGTTGCCTTCCTTTCAGCTGAAGGCTGCGGCGGCCACTGTACATTGCTCACGTGGTTGATGGCTGCACACGGTTTGTGCTGTGTCGTGTGTGCCTCGGAGGTCTTACCTTATCAGTGTCGAGTTTCATAAAACTTAAGCTTACTTGCAACTCTGGGACAAGATTAGGTTCTTTCAGAACGTCCACCAAATGTGTGCTCATCGGTGCTGTATGATTTTATTTAAGATTTTGTAATCGAAGCATTCATTCAAGAATATTGACTTTACTTTTTCCATTTGTTACTTTTCAGCCGCATTTAATTAACGAGATGTTCGTATCGAACGTTTGACCAGGGCGGTCCAACAGATTTTGCCACATTCCCTGCGTTAAGTTGGTATGACTGTTACTAACCGTTCCTTTAAGTTGTATGAAGCTCGACTACTGAAATTCACAGGGAGTGGCGTTGTTCGAACATTACAACATTCCAGGTCAAACGCGTACTTTTATGCCTTTGTTGGTATCGTCGGCTTTTTTGCTACTGCTGCACCTGAGTTTTTTTGGGTAACCTATATTATTGCTCTGAAAATCCTTGAAATTGCGAACGCTGCTCATCAGAAAGCACGCCCTATGACGGGAGTTTGCGCACTAAGCATTCGTGTCTCGATGTTGTTTTTGCCACTCTGGTACCTTTAAGTTGCCTGTCACATTTGTTCGTTCAGACTTGCACGGTTTTCTCATTTTGCCGTAGCTGTGCGCTGCCGGCCTGCCGCTGCCGGCTTGCCGCTGGCGCACTGTCGTTCCTTTTTGTTGATGTCGCGTGCGTTTGACGCGCGCGCGGCGTTTTGTTTGGTTGGCTGGCGGCTGGCGGCGCGCGCCCCCTCACCCCGCCCCCTGCTCAACAGCCAAGGGCCGCACCAACGTGGAGCTGCGCGAGCAGTTTGTGCTGGCGCCGGGCGTGTCGCAGAGCATGACGCCGTTCAAGTCGAAGACCTCCAGCCGCAGCACGTCCGTGCCAACGGCCGGACCCATCACGAAGGTGGGCGAGCCACGTCCAATAGTGGAGTGTGTATGGAGTGTGGAAGGTGGGATGTGCGATCGTTTGCGCACGTAGGAAAGGGAAATGTTTGCTGTCGCTTCATAAAGACCCGGACGTGCGCCGAGCTTGTCAGGTTGCCTCCCGTCTCATTCATCTCCATTCGGGACGCTCGTCTTTGCTTTCATCTTCTGTGTTGTCGCCGCCATACATTGTCGGGGTGCCGTGCGTTCTCGGACCTTGAATCGTGACTCCGGCTAAAGCCTTTCCATACACGTCCACCTGCCTCAACGAACGAGGCCAGCGGACCCGCGACAGCGACTCTCCACTCTTCTTCCCGTCGACGCCGCCGCCGGGCCGGCATCCGCGCTCCTGACGCCGCCCCCGTCCCCGCCCGCCGTGACCCTCCGTTCTGTGGCGTCACAGGTGCGCGAGAAGACGGGCCGCAGCGTGCCCCTGGCGCGCTCCTCCGTGTCGGGCACGCCGGGTGAGCGCAGCAGCCACGACGGCGGCCACCGCTACCTGCGCAAGGGCAGCACGCCGGTGCGCAGCAGCAGCTCGCAGGGCGGCAGCAAGCCGCCCAGCCGCACCGGCTCGGAGATCAGCCTGGACTCGGCCGACGGCCGGGGCGGCGCCACGCGCACCGGCACGCCCGGCTCCTCTAGTCACCGGCTCGCCTACGGCCGCAAGGTGGGCGGCGGCGCTCGGCGGCGGCGCGCACCGCGCTCCGAGCTAGGGCGAGCGGCCTGGGGGATTCGGCCGCGGGGTGTTGTCAACTCTCCAGCTAACCTGCTGTGCGAAACGTGAGGTGGATCAGGGATGTGGTGGTAGGTCAATGTCAACAGTGAAGAGGCACAGGATCCACGTGGATAAAAACGGTGGGAACCGTTCATTTGTTTGGTGCCGTGGACAGTTGAGCGTCATTGGCGGGGAAGATGTTGTTCGCTGTCACGATTTGCGCCCTCTGTTTGATGCTTGTTGGCCTAGCAGGCCAGCTTGCGTAACATTCGCTGGCCGCTCGTCAGGCCTCATCTCCGCTGAGCAAGACCTCATCCCCTGCCCATCCGAACGGGTCGACGAACGGCAAAACCAGCCAGTACAGGTGAGGAGCTGCTACATGACCTCTCCTCCGCCGACCGACCGACCGACCGCATGCCCCCCCCCCCCCCCCCCCCCCGGTCCTCCCGCGCTGCCCGCTGGGCCTGACCCGAAGGCGGGGTCAAGTGTGGCGGGTTCGCGCTGTAAAACGCCGACCCGTGTGGCCCCGTCTCCCATCGGACGATGTGCCGCGCATGGTCCTGCTCCGTGTAACCTGCTGTTGGGGAGTCTGTTCAGACTCGCCGACCCGTGCATGGCTTCCGCAACCAGCCTGTGGCGACCCGGACCGGTGCGGCCCTGGCCGCTGACACCTGCATGACCTGGTCCCCGCTAATCAGCTGCCGCCGCGGCGGCGCCCGGCGCCGGCCGCTGGGTCCCACGCTGCTGAAGGCCATCTCGTCGCCGGCGCTGCCATCTGTCAGCGGGCATGGAGTTAACAGTTCGCGAGCCGTTCGCCGGGCGGTTGGGGCTGGCGCGCTGGCGGCCACTGCGCCGCCCGGCCTGGTCGCCGCCCTGAGGTATCCGGCAGCAGTGCCAGGTAGATCAGTCTAACTGCTGTAACCGCATCGGCCCATCATTGACCGGTAGAAAATCCCGCTCTCCCCATGTGGCACATGCCTCCGGCATGGGCTGTGTTGTAACCCCGCTTTTGCCGTCGTCCACTTACCACTAACAGGAGGCACTAACTGTTCTAGGTACAGGCGACCCGCCTCCGTTTCATCCATGTCGCCAGGAGTGCCGAGCCCCAGGTATACTAACCCGCGCGCCCTGCACCCGCTCCCGCGTTGTACATAAGTGCTGCCAGAGACGGGCGGCGGCCGGCGCACGAACTAGCCGGCCGGCCGCCGCCGCGCCTGTACAGTGCATAACGTCCCGCCGGTCACCACGTGATCACGCTCTGCCATTCTTCTGCTCTCGCACTGTAACCACGTGACAGTGCCGCCCACGTGTAAGACCGAGTTGGCCCAGAAGCCGAGGTGCTGGTGGGCCTGGTCTTGCGCGTGGGCGGCAGCTGCGTCTGTCTCGTCACTGCACATAACCCGCTGGTGTGAGAACTAACGCTGAGGTGCCGGCGCCGCGCGCTCTGTATCTATCTCCATCTGTCTGCCATCTGCCCTAGGAGTCGCATCCCGGTGATGGTGCGCTCGGGCACCGCGGACGAGATTGAACGCCGGCGGCTCCAGGTAACTCCAAGACAAGAGAGAGGAGAGAGAGCCCCCTCTCTCTCTTCTCTCTCTCTCTCTCTCTCTCTCTTCTCTCTCTCTCTCTCTCTCTCTCTCTCTCTCTCTCTCTTCTCCTCTCTCTCTCTCTCTCTCTCTCCTCTCTCTCTCTCTCTCTCTCTCTCTCTCTCTCTCTCTCTCTCTCTCTCTCTCCTCTCTCTCTCTCTCTCTCTCTCTCTCTCTCTCTCTCTTCTCTCTTTCTCTTTCTCTCTCCCCCTCCCTCTCTCTTTCCGACTCTTTCCCCACCCACTAACTACGGTATTGACCTGCCAATCAACCAGCTTCTCTGTTTTTTTGCTAGCAGTCGGTGTCGTGCCACTGGCGGACATTTGCATGTGGTTCGAGCCGTGCGCAACAGCTGTGCTCTCATTTCGCCTCACTGGCTGTGAACATCCGCTTCACTAACACCTTCACTGGTGCGATCAGCTGCTCATAAGCGCCTGTAACGGATCGTCCGTCGCCGCCGTGACTAACCCAATAACGAGCCAGCTCCCGCCTTTCTAACGCACGGCCTGCCCGCCGAGCCCGGTGTGTGGCCACTGCATGTGAGCCGCCCTGACGGTGTCTCGCGCGCAGGCTGGGCACGCTCTCCTGGCGGCGCGGCGTGCCCCGCGTCAGCTCCACGCTGAGCATCCCGGCCGGGCTGGGCACCGGGCGCGCCAGGTACTGCTGCGCTCGCGCGGCCGCGTGCTGGGCCGCTCGCGCATTCACGGGTCGGGGATGAGAGCTGGGTCGGTGCGCGACGAGTGGTGGGGTGGGATTGGCCGCCCGCAGAGCGGCGTGGCTGGGTTTTGCGCCGACTTGGAGGCCGCTTTCCGTCAGAAAGGCATTACGATTTGCCCCCTGGAGCTTTGTATCTGGCCGGTCGGTCATGGCGGCCTTATAGCCCGCTATGAGGCCATCAGAAGCTGTACCTCGCAAAACAAAAATCAAAGCCCTCGGTTGGTTGTAGATGCTTCAACTCGTCTAAAATGGCCTTCAAGAAGTATTGACCCACCGCACCCATCGTGCTTGCAGTAGCGTTGCATGCCCTTTCTTGCGCACGTTCCGCACGCTGATCCCTAATCTGTTGCACTTGGAATACCACGTCCACCATGGCCTTCACGCATCCTTCCCGGTCTAATCACACCAGTCACGTTACCACAAAGGCCCAGGTGTGAGGCCCGTCACCCTTGTCGGTGGACTCGTGGTAGTAGTGGCGGCATGGCCCTGACTGGAGTCACCCACTCAGTTGGCTGCGTGCGTGTCTTTCCGCACAGGCATCCTTCCCCGTGTATATAGCAGCGTCAGTGTATATATGCAGTGCCACCGAACGCTACCGTCTTTGCCTGTTAACCAGATGTTAATATCTCATTAATGAACTACTCACAGCTAATGACGCATGTGCTGTGTACGAGCACAAGTGGCCGCCTCGCCGTGCCGCCGGCACTTTACTAGCTCCGAGCGACGATCTAACTATCCGGCACGTATGCACCGTCGTGTAACTACTCAGTAACGCCCGGCCGGCCGGCACCGGCGTCCCCGCGTAGCCGTGCACTAATCGCCGCATGGTTGCTTGTGCAGATCTCGAACGTCGTCCCAGTCCAGTCTGTCGTCAGCGTCCCGCCTCTCGACGGGTCTGAGGTAACGCAGCACCTCCGGGCGCGAGAGTGACGCGTCCCGCTCTCGCTCTAGTGCTGGCGCGGTGTACATAGCGGCCTGTCGGCAGTCTTCGCTGCGGCGCGGTGCGACGAGAGATCACTAACGCTCGTCGGCGGCGGGGGATTTGCCGCGCGTGGCCACAAAGTGTCCTGTGTAATCGCCCGTTCGTTGGTTGGCTGTGGGCAATGGGCACGCTGTACTCCAAGAGGCAAAGAACGCAAATATGTGGCGTATCAAACACGCGGACGCCTTTAGAACCGTCGTGCAGTATGGGTTGAAATGGTGTGGTGCCTAACGTCCCGCGGTTCACGTGGCGCGGAGCCTAACACGTGGCTGGCACGTGGCGTGGAGCCTAACACGTGGCCTAACACGTGGCGCGGCGGGCGCGGAGGTGGAGCGTGCGACTAACGGGCGGCCGCCTCTCTTGCAGACCCAAAACCAGCGGATCCCACATTCCCGTGCCGACAATGCAGAGGTAACTACCGGCGCGTGGTGTTGGCTCACACGTGACCCGAGCGCCCGGATGGCGCGGCAGGGCGCCGGCGGCTGTGGAGACGGGTGTGGGGCTGTCTGTGCGGCGGCGAGGGCGAGGTCTGACGCTGGGAGAGCGGCCTGCAGGCGTGTGTCGGTGTTCTGATATGGCAGGGTGTGGTGCGTCACGCCTGAGGGCCGGCCGCCACGCGTGGTGTCGTCAGCGAGACCGTCGGCGTGGGCGGTGTGGCTTGTCTGCTGTCTGATGTGATGCGAGAGGGGGGGGGGGGGGGGGTATAAAAGAAGTGGAAATCATGAGGGATGGTTGCCAAAATCGAGTGTCGAAAAGTGGTTCACTCCCAGCGACGGTTCTGGACCTGCATATCCTGGCACACGCGGGCGCGCATTCCTTTGTTGTGCCACCGCCGCCGTGTTGTCCACCTGGAGTGGCACCGTGACCAATTCTCACACCCGTTCCCCGTGGCGTCGCCCTCGTTTGCCCGTGACCTCGCCCTCTCCCCGTGGCCTCACACCCTCTCTCGTCGACAGAGAGCACTCGGCGTCCAAGATCCAGCGTCGCTCGTCGGGCGCGAGCGACTCGAGCCGGGGACAAGGCTCGGAAGTCAGCCACCTCGGAGAAGCCCCGCTGGCACTGAGGCGGCTGCCACACCCCCGCGGGACCAGACGGGCGGCGCACGCCGCCACCCAGAGCCAGCAGTGACTGTAAATACGTCCGCGCGAACACAGAGCAGCTACAGCATAATGATCACTAACCAAACTGCCAAGGTGCTTTGAAACGCGATCTAACAGTCTTTCTATCATTAATTATGTTATCATTTATGGATATGTTATTATTTTTGTCAAGCTTGGAGCGGCTGTGTCGAGACGCGTGGCGACCGCTGTGATGGTCGCAGTCCAGACCGGACCGGTGGCGCCGCCCTGCCGGCGCGCACTAGCAACACGAGACTAACGGTAGTCCGGGGCGAACATGTGTACAGGTTTTTTAATGATTTGTATGCTGCACCGTGGCGTGTGAGTGCATGCACGCGTGTTTGGTTCGTCAAAAGACAGTGCTGACACTAAGGGTGCGGGCGTGGGTGAAGAACGACGCGCGCAGGCAGCAATAATCCTAGTTGACGGGGCGACGGTGCTGTGCGGGCGCCGCCGCCCCGGCCGGCCGGCCGGCAGGGGGCGGACCTGCGGATGTCCACCGGGGGCGGTGCGGCGCCCCCCGGCGGGCCCGCCTCCCGCGCGCCGGCCATCGGTGCTCATTGTGACTCGGAGAGACTTCTATTTTGTATTACGTATGCCCGGAGCGCCCTAATCCCGCGGACTGGGCCACCGCGCGCGTGATTGTGGATTGTCGAACAACCAGCTTCAAATAAACTGCTTGACCCCACGTGCTGTGTTTCGAGGGGCGACGGAGGGCTGAGTGCTGGCGTGGTGGGTGCAGGTGTTGGAGCGGTCTGCCGATGCCCCCCCCCCCCGTGAGGGAGGGGGACATTACGCAGACACCGGGGGCACAAGGTGGGGGGCAGGGCCCCCCACCTTGGTGTGCTCCAAGGATCCCATGGACGGTTGGAAAGGCTTGTAAAGCGCCCCTTCCGGCCAAAGGGGAGGGGCCAGACGAAACGTGCCTCCGGCAAGGGCTCTGACTCGTTCAGAGTAGGGATTAGCAACCTCTCAGCCCCAGCTTTTCAGTCCTATCTGGGTCTCGCCGTACCCGGTTGCATCCGCAGGCAGCGATGAAGGGATCCTGGTCACTGAGGGAGTTGCCCTGCGGGTCAGTCGGGACAGCTTACCGACACGTGGCTTTGGCCCGAATTTGTGATCCTGCGGAAGCCTCGCGAAGTCTCCGCACGAGGAAATCGGCTGGTCAGGCGTCGTGTTTTCATGACACTGGCTTGGAGGCAAGCAGGTCATGTGATGGGCGTTGAGGGGGAGCTGTCGGGTGCAGTGTCTGCCTTCCAACACCATTACGGGGCCGTACCTCAGTTTGTTACCAGGGTGCCTGGTTAGCACCTGCGAACAGAGGCACTGGCGCCCGCAGGCTCGTGCCCAGCGGCTCCCGCAGCAACTCTTTTGGCACACGGGTCCGCGTATAGCGTGCTGGTAGCCCTGGCGGCTCCTCTCTTAGAAGTGGAACGTCCCGGTGTTGGGCTCTGTGGTGGGCGGGGAACCAGTGCGCCTAATATAAACACATGCCCATGGACACTATTATCAACCCCCCCCCCAACCCTGACCGTCGAGCCAAGGAGAAAGCGGAAGCTATCCACTTACGGACACAGGTGAGACGACCTGTGCCACCGCCCCAGTTTCTGATAGTAAGATCCGCCAAGGTAGATGACCAGGGGAAAAAGTATCGCTCCGGCTGGGCCCATTTCAGCTCCAACAAGTATTTTTCCAGGAAAGGAACACCCTAGGATGTCTTTTCATATTAGGATGGGGGCATGGAAGTGCATTTAACGGACGAACGCGAGATCCAGCGCATGCTCAAGACGACCGCACCAATCTACAAAGCACGAGGACAGGGAGAGGTGAGGGTGCCTGTATCGGTGCACCCTTACCCTTCTAAGAACTACTCCAAGGTGTAATTACTTACCGGGACCTTCGTGGTGTGAGTGATATGGATGTTGCTGAGGGCTTGTGTGAGGAAGGAGTGACGGCGGTGAGACGTATTAAGGGCAGAGAGAGAGGAGAGCTGATCGATACTGATCCGATAATTCTGACGTTTTGCTGTGCGAGAGTGCCAGATAGGATCCGCGTCGGATACCAGTCGGTCCCTGTTAGGGTCTATGTACCCGATCCAGTCCGGTGCTACCGATGCCAGACGTATGGTCACTTCACGGACAAGTGCTGGAAAGAAGTCAGATGCGGAAGGTGTGCAGAAATAGGTCACCAACACTCTGAGTGTGTGTGAGTGTAAATCAGAAACAGTGAAATACGTCAACTGCGGTCAGGGTCATCTGGCGTCATATCGTAACTGTCAGTCCTTATTGTCAGAGAAAGCTGTCCCGAACATCAAGGTGAAGGAAAGAGCCTCGTTTCGGGAGGCCCAACGCCGACACAACGATACGACCACCACAAAGACGTACAAAGACGCTCTTACTAAACCGGCAAGAAATTTATCCCAAGTAACACCCTCAGCCAACGAGGTACTGAAACTGAGTGGGCTTGATGATTTCAAAGGCATGACTGTAGATGAGTTTGGACAGCTGATTCTAAGCACACTTACACCAACTGGCTCTGTTGCCCCGTCGTCCCGGAAGTCGGATCCTCCGAAAAAGGATCCACCTGCGGCATTGGCCGCCTTTAGAGGAGCTAAACCTATGGGGTTGGAACCCCCTGGGGGACCTGCCAAAGAGCCCGGGACTGGGGTGCGACGTGGGATTGAGGGATGGACCGCGGTCCAGCGAGGCTGTGGACTTCGCCCCCCATCATCGCACCCCAGCCCACCCCGTGCTGAAGACACGCCCTCCCGGGCTCCATCTTCCCCTCCACCCATACCAGCTACGACGGGATCTGTCCCCGCTGGCACGGCGGCGCTACGAGAGCTGGCCCCCTCTGACTCCTCAGCTAGTGGGCCTGCCGGGAGCGCCGGTCCTCCCGGCTCACGGGAGCCGGATAAGGTTCGGCATCCCCCAGTCGTCGCTCCCTCCCGGAGCCGCCCCTCTGAAACTGGTGTTCGTCCGGATTCTCTGGATCTTGGACCTGCAGAGCGCGCCGCCAGCCCGGCGTCTGCACCACGGACCGGAGGCCGGCTCCCGCTGTCGACTCCGCCTCACTCGCCGGGAGGGTCAGTGGGCCCGCCTCCCATTCCTCCACGTGGAGACGGGGTTTCGGGTCGGCCTTCGCAGCAGTCCCCGGCGGCAGGTCGTGTGACAAGGCGTGCCCTTCCTTGGCCGACGTCGCCTACGGAGGGTAGAAGTCCCAAAGCTCGGCCAAGGGTCGGCTTAGCTCCACTGAAGTGGAGCGCCGCCAGGGAGATTTGTTTAGTGCAAAATCCTAGGTGAACGTTTAAAGCAGATGTAAGCTATACCTATTGATCTTAACCGTACACCCCACATACAAGCATATCTAGCATGTCACTGAGTTTTTACAATGGAACATGCGTGGCTTGAGGTCCAACATGTCGGACCTACACACGCTCTTATCTAATCGCAACCCGGTTGTGGCATGGTAACAAGAAACAAAGGTATCTAATGACACCCACCTTAACATCAAATATTAATCTTTCATGTTAATCAATCTTTTCTTTCATGTCAAATATTTCATGTTTCATGTTTCATGTCAAATCTGTCATTTTCAATCATCAAATGAGCATCTTTCGGAAGGGTGTGAGAACTGACACGATCGCCCATGCCATGTGGCGTTTTTAGTTCATCACAGTATACCGTGTTCTCCTGTAAGTCTTAGCACTGACCTTCAGGCTGTTGCTGACGTCGTCGACCTTGGGTCGCTGAGGCTGACTGTCTGTTGTCTACCTCCCTCTCGCTGAGGAAGTACCGGATTCGATATTATAGTCCATCTTCGTGATCAATCCCCATCGCCGTGATCAACCCACAACGTTCTTGTTGCTAGGTGACTTCAACTTCCACACCCTTGTGGGACTGCAGCCACAAAAGCCGCCGAGGCCGACATCTCGTACGGTTGCTGAATTCAAATAATATTTGTGTTATGAACACCGGCCGGCATACGTCCACAATTGTCAACACTGCAAGGTCCTACATTCCCTCGACATCGCCCAAGCCGCGCAGGATCCCTGTCCCCTGGTGGTCGGAGGGCTGCAAGACGGCAATTCTTAAGCGGAAGCGGGCGTTCATGGTTTTAAAGCGTTCTGCAACGACCAACAACCTCATCGCTTTTAAGAAGGCCAGAGCATTGGCGAAACGCACAATACGCGAGGCAAAGCGTGCATCATGGAGGGAATATATAAACGGTTTAAGTCGTCACACCCCACTGAGTGCAGTGTGGCAGCGAGTTAGTCGCATTTCCGGTAGGAGCGTTTCCACCGCAGTTTCGGTGTTGAAAGTGGCGGGAATCACGATATTGAACACACAGGAAGTTTCCAACAAAATAGGTCTCGCATTTGCAGGAAGGTGCCGACATGGAACATACGACTCACGTTTTATTCGTTACATGGAACAAAGTGTGAAGACGGCAATCAATTTTAGAATTCCTGACTCAGATATTTATGAGTGAACCAACCATTCACTGTCATGGAGCTCTGCACTGCTATTAAGAGAGCTAAGAGCATGTCCCTTGGATTGGATAAAGTCCACAATGTTATGCTAAATCACCTGAAGGAATCACCTCTTCATGCTTTATTCGAACTTTTCAACTACATATGGTTGTATGATGACTTCCCGGAGTCGTGGCGGGAGGCCATTACGGTACCGATACATAAGCCCGGAAAGGATGGTTCCGACCCACCGCACTACCGCCCAGTTTCGCTGACTTCAGCCCTATGCAAAGTGCTAGAAAGGATGGTGAGTGATCGTCTCACGTGGTATCTTGAAATTCACGGCTGTCTTTCCAAAGTGCAATGCAGGTTTCGGAAGAACCGATGCATTGTTGACCACTTAACTTTAGACACAGCTACACATTCTTTTAAACAAAAATGCTACACGATAGCAATCTTCTTTGACATTGAGCGGGCTTATGATACCGCATGGCGCCATGACATTCTAAGCAAAGGACACGAGTGTGGACTCCGAGGTCACATAGCACGCTTCATTGAACACTTTTTACGTCGTCGATTTTTCCGCGTCAGAGTGGGTGACATGCTATTTGATCGTTACGAACAAGAGAACGGTGTTCCTCAAGGAAGCGTCCTCAGCGTAACCCTGTTTGCGCTGATGATCAATGATATCACCGACTGTCTGCCACCTACCATCAGTCGGTCACTGTTTGTGGACGACTTTGCCATCTGGTGTGCAGCATCCGCAACGACCTCTGCAGAGAGGCAGCTTCAGCCATGTCCCATTCGACTGAGTGGAGCCTGAAGAATGGCTTCAAATTTTCGAACACCAAGACTATGTACGTGCACCTCTGCTCACGGATTAGACGCTGTAGAGACCCGGAGTTGGGACTCTATAATGTCGCTATTCCAGTTTGTAACGAAATATGTCTCCTGGCCTCACGTTTGACCGTCGGCTCACGTTTAAGCAACACTCCAAGATGATTAAGATTAAGTGTCTAAAGCGCATGAACCTCATGAAAGTAATGTGTCGTATGTCCTTTGGAGCCAATAGATGCACCCTGTTAAACTTGCATAGAGCTTTAATTCGATCGGTCGTCGATTATGCTAGCCCTGTCTACGATAGTGCTTCTACACTTCGAAACAGGTTTTGGACACAATCCACCATACATGTGTTCGTATAGCCACTGGGGCGTTTC